CTGGAGTACAATGACACGATCTCGGCTCACCGCAACCTCCGCCTCCTGGGTTCAAGCAATTCTCCTGCCTCAGCCTCCCATGTAGCTGGGACTACAGGCACGCACCATCATGCCCAGCTAATTTTTGTATTTTTAGTAGAGACGGGGTTTCACCTTGTTGATCAGGATGGTCTTGATCTCTTGACCTCGTGATCCACCTGCCTTGGCCTCCCAAAGTGCTGGGATTATAGGCGTGAGCCACCGCGCCCGGCCGCAGCCTTTTCTTTCTTATGAAGAGGCCTAGCTTGGGTAAATTTTGGACTAGACATCCCAATGGCGACTTGGGGGCTAGGCAGGACTCCTAATTATCCATAGTTCCCTCTCTGTTGTGGGATAGGAGTGAGGAACGATGTCCCGGACCTCAACACCCAACTACTGGAGGTTACGGGGAAGGACAGGAGTATAGGGACGTCTCCACAATATTCCTGTCTTCTGGAATGAGCAAGCAGGGGCACCAGGACTACTCCCTGAGGCCCACAGCTCGAGATGGAAAGGAGTCCCTGATGCGGCCACGATTACGGACAGGGTCTCCTTGGATCGGAGCAAACAGAGGTGGGGTTATGGGCAATAGGAGTCTTACCAAGTGATGGCTGCAGATGATCGGAGAGGCGGCGGCTCCCTGGTTCCGCTTGTGGTAGAGGAGTCAGTTTCCCTCAGGAGGGGTCTGGAACTCCTCCCAGGTTTCGGCACCACTTGTAAGGGTTATCGCTGAGTTTAAAATGAGGAAACCGAGGCCAGTATAAGAAAATTAAATGTCAATTTATTCAGCTCTCAGACAAGGTTCTATAGTCTGGAGAAAGGGGCCAGAGAAGTTGAGCTGACTTCCTGGGCTGGGGGGCGGGGCGTGGGGGTTATGGCTAGGAGGACCAAGCAACAGCTGGGTGCTCTGATTGGGTCCAGGGGAGCGGGATTGGGATGGGGCAGGCTGCTATTTGTTGGTGGGTTGTTGGGCGAGTTTTCCAGGTGCTAGAGCCGGCCAAGGTTGCATTAGCCGGAGGCTTCCAAGGGAGCCTTGCGGCAGAGCTAGGTGCCAAGTGCAGAGCCTGGCGTCGGGTGCAGAGTCAGGTGCTGAGTGCAGAGGTGGGTGTGTCCGGCCTCCCGGCGAGGCAACCGACCTTACAATGATGGTAGCTACTGTTTGCGTCTTGAGGGCCTACTGTGTCCAGGGACTTTGCAGAGCAGTTTGCATTCAGAGACTTTATCCTGACTACAGACCTACGAGGATATATCCTTTCCTACCCAACACCAACCTCTTACATTGATGTAGAACATCTACCAGTCTAAGGCATCGTCTCTCGGCCTCTGACTTCACACTTGCTTTTCCTTAATTTCTTCCTTGGTGTACTTTCCCAGTCACTATGGCTGTGTCCCAAACCACCTGGAAACCTAGTGGCTTGACAATGACCACATTTATTTCACTCTTGAATCTGCAAATTGGGCAGGATTGGCTGGCTGAACTGTTTCAAAGACCCTGCTCTGAGGAGATGGTTTTCCATGACAAAAACCAATCTCTGTCCAGGGCCACCGAGGCTTGGTCCCCGGGTTGGAGGAAGCTGACTGCCAGGACCCAAAGAGCCACATCGTGTTTGATAATTCTGCACCCTAATGCTGGAGGGGGTGTGGATCAGGAGGCTGAGACCCACAAAGAATAAACAGCCCCACCCAAGTCATGCAAAATTACAAAGCAGTTACGTTAGGTAGGAAGAGGGTAGAGTTGGGTGCCATAGGCTCCTCTGTGACAGTCTGATTTACACTCATCCAGCAGAGGGAGGAAGACAGGGAGTTGTTGAGAGAGACTGAGCTGATGTCAGGGGCTGGATGGGGATCCTAGTTCCCCCACCTGGTGCCCGCTGGGGACCAGTCTCTTCCCAGAGCAGCCCTTCGTGTTATTTATTAAGACTAGGGTTTTTTTTTCTCATGTAAATCACTTACAACTTTTGTTTTTGTCCCGACTTGTGTCTTTTAAAACACATTCCGTGCCTATTCATTTCTTTTTGCTTAGTAATAAAAACAGGCCATGGCTATGTCCCGTAAGTTTTGCTGGGCAATTTTCTCATCATTCCTGTCTTACGTAAATGCAGTTTTGTTTTTCTTATGAGCTGACCTTTCTTTCTTTCTTCCTCTCTTCTCTTCTCTCTTCTTCTCCCTCCTCTCCCCTCTCTTCCTGTCTCCTCCTCTCTCCTTTTTTTTTGAGACAGAGTCTCCATGGCCCAGGGTAGAGTGCAATAGCTTTATCTTAGCTCACTGCAACCTCTTCACACCCAGGTTTCAGCAGTTTTCCTGCCTCAGCCTCCAGAGTTACTGGGATTACAGGCAGTTGCCACCACACCCAGCTAATTTTGTATTTCTAGTAGAGATGGGATTTCTCCATGTTGGTCAGGCTGGTCTTGAACTCCTGACCTCAGGTGATCTGCCCACCTCAGCCTCCCAAAATGCTGGGATTAGAGGCATGCACCATGGCACCCGGCCTGCCCCTTTTAAAAAAAGAAAGCATTCATGTGACAACTGATGTGTCTGAACAAACATTTGTGAGTGTTGGGAGGAGGGTGGGGTGGCAGGGATTGACTTCATTAGCAGTGTCTGTTCAATCAGCAATATTGATTATATTATTCAAGGTCTTCATATGCCTGTGGATTCTTGATCTACTGCCTCTATCAAAAAGTGTGAGAGATACAGTAAAACCTCCCAGTGCAATTACATTTTTGTCAATTTACCCTTGTATTTTTAAAGTTTTCTTTTAATACATTTTAGTGGAATAATATTTCCCATGTAGGAAGGATTGTGGAAGTTGTCATTTCATGATTTAGATCCTTTAGAAAAATAAAATGACTACCTTTGGCTTATTTTCATAATTTTTGTTTTAGATTCTATTTTCTGTGAAACTTTTTTTTATAAACTTTTTTTTAAAGACGGGGTTTCACCATGTTGGTCAGGCTGGTCTTGAACTCCCGACCTCAGGTGATCCACCCACCTTGGCCTCCAAAGTGCTTCGATTACAGACGTGAGCCACCATGCCCAGCCTAAAACTTTTTTTTTTTTTTTTTTTTAAATGTGACATCTGCTCTTTTCACTTGCTTGTTTGCAATTGACCTAGGACATTTTTGTCCAGGTCCTTTGCTTTCGTTAGCAAATCCATAGTGAGCATCTCCTATATGCATGCCACGTGGTGTCTCAGAACTGGGCTTTGCAGAGTGCCATGGAGGAGACATGTTTCTTGCCTTTGTGAACTCACATTCCATGCCTCACTCTATTTTAATTGTGTCACTTATAAACAGCAGATAGTTGGATACTGTTTTTTGAGTTTAGTAAACCAATTTTGTCTTATAGAGGTATTTGAACTACCCAATTTGTCACTGTAACTAATACCTTTGGTATTATTTTCATTACATTGTTTCATGCTTTCTGATTTATTTACTTTTATTATACTTTAAGTTCTGGGATACATGTGCAGAATGTGCAGGTATGTTACATAGGTATACACGTGCCTTTGTGGTTTGCTGCATCCATTCCCGCCCCTGCTGCTATCCCTCCCCTAGCCCCCCACTCCCCGACTGGCCCCAGTGTGTGATGTATTGGGTGCATATATTTAGGATTGTTAGCTCTTGTTGCATTGATCCCTTTACCATTATGTAGTGCTCTTCTTCGTCTCTTTTGATCTTTATTCTTTCAAAGTTCATTTTATCAGAGACTAGGATTGCAACTCCTGATTTTTTTTTTGCTCTCCATTTGCTTGGTAAATCTTCCTCCATCCCTTGGTTTTGAGCCTATGTGTGTCTTTGCACATGAGATGGGTACACTGATGGGTCTTGACTCTACTTCACCAGTGGATCTTTTGACTGGGGCATTTAGCCCATTTACGTTTAAGGTTAATATTGTTATGTTTGAATTTTGATACTGTCATTTTTATGCTAGCTGGTTGTTTTGCCTGTTAGTTGGTGCAGTTTATTCATAGCATTGGTGGTCTTTATGTAATTTGATATGTTTTTGCAGTGGTTGGCACAGGTTGTTCCTTTCCATGTTTAGTGCTTTCTTCAGGAGCTCTTATAAGGCAGGCCTGACAGTGATAAAATCTCTCAGCAGTTACTTGTCTGTAAAGGATTTTATTTCTCCTTCACTTATGAAGCTTAGTTTGGCTGGATATGAAATTCTGGGTTAAAAATTCTTTTCTATAAGAATGTTGAATATTGGCCCTCACTGTCTTCTGGCTTGTAGGGTTTCTGCCAAGAGATCTGCTGTGAGTCTGATGGGCTTCCCTTTGTGATTAACCCAACCTTTCTCTGTGGCTGCCCTTAGCATTTTTTCCTTAATTTCAACCCTGGTGAATCTGACCATTATATGCCTTGGGGTTACTCTTCTCGAGGAATATCTTTGCAGTGTTCTCTGCATTTCCTGTATTTGAATGTTGGCCTGCTGTGTTAGGTTGGGGAAGTTCTCCTGGATAATATCCTGAAGAGTATTTTCAAACTTGGTTTCATTCTCCCCATCACATTCAGGTACACCTATCAAACGTAGATTTGGTCTTTTTCACATAATCCCATAGTTTCTGGAGGCTTTGTTACTTCTTTTCACTCTTTTTTTCTCTAATGTTGCATTTTTGCTTTATTTCATTGAGTTGATCTCTGATTCATTGATTCAGCTATTGAAACCTGTATATGCTTCATGAAGTTCTCGTGCTGTGCTTTTTACCTCCATCAAGTCGTTTATGTTCTTCTCTATGCTGATTATTCTAGTTAGCCATTCATCTAACCTTTTTTCAAGGTTCTTAGTTTCCACGCATTGGATTAGAACATGCTCCTTTAGCTTGGAGAAGTTTGTTATTACCCACCTTCTGAAGCCTGCTTCTGTCAATTTGTCAAACTGATTCTCCATCCAGTGTTGTTCCTTTGCTGGTGAGGGGTTGTGAGCCCTTGGAGGAGAAGAGGCATTCTGGTTTTTGGTGATTTCAGCCTTTTTGCGTTGGCTTCTTCCCGTCTTCATGGATTTATCTATCTTTGGTCTTTGAAGTTGGTGACTTTTGGATAGGTTCTCTGAATGGATGGACTTTCTGTTGATAGTCAAGCTATTTCTTTCTGTTTATTAGTTTTTCTTCTAACAGGCCCCTCTGCTGCAGGTCTGCTGGAGTTTGCTGGAGGTCTACTCCAGACCCTGCTTGCCTGGGAATCACCTGCAGAGGCTGCAGAACAGCAACGATTGCCCAGGCTGGAGTGCAGTGGCATGTTCTCAGCTCATTGCAATCTCCACCTCCCCGGTTCAAGTGATTCTCCTGCCTCAGCTTCCCGAGTAGCTGGGATTACAGGCTAATTTTTGTATTTTTAGTAGGGTTTCACCATGTTGGCCAGGCTGCTCTTGAACTCCTCAGGTGATCTGCTCACCTTGGCCTCTGAAAGTGCTGGGATTACAGGTGTGAGCCACTGTGCCCGACCTTTTTGAGCATTTTGAATATGTGATTCCAGTGCTTTCTGGCCACCATTTTTTTTCCTGATGATAATTCAGCTGTGAATCTTATGGGAATTCTTTTGGAAGGGACAAGTTTTTTTCTTTGTTTATGTTTATGTTTTCAAAATTGTCTACTTGTTTTTGACTTTCAGCTTTTTCCCCCCAGCACGTTGACTATTTGAGATAAAGTACATTTCACTCTTTGTGGTTCTCTGTGGTTATCCTGCTTGGAGTTTGTTCAGCTTCCTGGATGTATATTGTTTTTGAATCAAACTTAGAAATTTTATAGTCATGATTTCTTTGAATATTTTTCCTTCTCCCTCCTCTCCTGGTATTCTCATTATGTGTGTGCTAGTATGCTTGATGGTGTCTCATATATCTCTGAAGCTCTGTTCACTTTTCATTTATTTTTCTCTCTGTTCTTTGACTTGCATACTTTCTGTTGATCTATCTTTAAGTTAATGAATTCTTTCTTCTGCCAGTTTTAATATACTGTTGTGTCCCTCTAGTGAAATTTACTTCCATTATTGTACTTTCTAATTCCAGTATCTTCATTTAAAGAATAATTTTTCTCTCTTTGTTGATATTTTCTATTTGATGTGATATTGTCATCATACTTTACTTCTTGGGTCATGATTTTCTTTAGTTCTTTGAACATATTTTAATGGCCACTTTAAAGTCTTTGTTAAATCTGACACCTGTTTAACTGCTCTTGTCACAAAATAGCTATGGGAGATGATAGCTGTGTTTATCTGTTTCACTATTGTAACCATTTTTCTGTGTATACATATCTCATAACATCATGCTGTAAACCTCAAATATAGACAAATAGAATTTATTTTAAAAAATCTGACATTGAGTTACTCTCACAGGAAGCTTCTCTTGATGTTTTTCTGGTATACAGATTATGCTTTCCTGTTTCTTAGCATGTTTCAGTATTTTTTGCTGGGATATTTTAGATAATAGACAATATATTTTAGCAACTTGGGTTGCCGGGTGCTGGTCCCCATTTTCCTCAAAGGGCTTGCTATTTACTTGTTTATTTTTTAGTGAATAGCTGGATTGTTTAAGTGAAATCTACTCCCCCTGGTGTTAAACATTTGATATTGCTTCTTCAGGCAGCGCTGGATCCCAGGTCACAGTGAAGGTGGTGGTTTTGGCAGTCTCTGAATGTCTCTTTCCCTGACCACACCTAGCTTTAAGCCCCGGTGATTGCTGGCTGATTGTGCTGTTGTTCTCATCAATGCACTTGGGATTAAATTGCTCTACAGAGGGAGTCAGTCAAATACAGGATCCTTCGAAGGAGTGGTTCTGGAGGTTGATACTGTTGGCCCTCCATATTAGTGAGTTCCACAGCCATGCATTCAACCAACTGCAGATAGAAAATGCTGTTTTGGTTTTTTTTTTTTTTTAAAAAGAAGACGGTTATGTTTGTATTGAACTGTCTTTTTTTCTTTGTCATTATTCCCTATACAATACAGTATAATAAATATTTACCTAGTATTTACATTGTATTAGTATTTACATTGCATTAGTAATTTAATGATTCCAAGTATATGGGAGGATATGTGTATTTTATATGCAAATAGTAGGCCATTTTATACAAGAGACTTGAGCACTCATGGATTTTGGTATCCTTGGGGAGTCCCGGAACCAATCCTTGTGGATATGAGCTGTATTTGATATTATGTTCTGACTCAAGGTGGACTCTTCAAGTTCCCTGGGAAAAATCTCCAAGCAATGGCTATTGAGCTGGGGGCGGGGACAGTGGTGCACTTCTCTTCAGGTGATACTTCCACTTGAGCTGGGCACTGATGGACAGAGGTGGGCAGTAGCCTCGGGCTTTTTCAGCTTGCCTTTTCTGGTGGGGCCTCACTATTCTCAGCAGCACTGTGCCCAAGGCAGAGCCTTCATGTCCTGAGTGGTGGCTGGACATCAGGGAGCCCCCACCTCTCATCACCCTCACCTAGAACTTAACCTCAGGCAGCTGGAGGCAGGATAAGAAATGCTGACCTGCCTCTCCTCGGAAGATACTGGGGGCCTACAGCTGGGACTCCAGGTGCAGGGGAATGTGGCTGCTTCTCCCACATGTAGAGAAATGCAGCTTCTTCCACTCCTAATTGTGGAGTTTGTCCCCACCCACTGCACCTTGCTCCTCAGGCTGGAGGGTCTACAGGGCAACTGGACTAAGCGCCCCTTCTGGTCCTCTCAGCTGGTACTGGATGGGCAAAGCCTAATGGGAATCTCAGTCTCATTCGGATGGCTGAGAGTCTCCCAAGCCCCCCTCTGCTCCTCCTCCCTGCAGTGGTGCTGACTGCCGGTGGGCACTCATCTGGTCTTCAGGGCATGCTGGCACTGCCTCTGGTGCCCCCTTGGGGAGTGTGGCTGAGGTCAGAGGCCTTGTGGCTGGTGTGTGGCCAGTTTTGGCTTGGACCCCTTGCTGGGCTTTGCTCATCTCTACTCTCCATGGCACCAGCAACATCACTCAAACTGTTTGCACACATGTGCCTCTAATTTCTTCTGTAGGATTTTATCCTGCAAATGTGCTCACAATTGAGTAAAGACAATGACAGATGGGTTCACTGAAGTACTGTTTGCAACAAAAGTCAGGAAACATCTGATGCCCACCAAACAGGATGACTTAAGTAAAGTATCACCCATTCACACAATGGCATGTTTCTTAACAGAAAGCAGGATTCTGTGATCAGGATACTTGGACGAGTGCACAGCATGCTCCCACATGTACAGAACACTCACAGAATATCCTCATGCATGCGCATGTGTGCTTGGGTGTCCGGAGGGACACGTGGCACATTGCAGGCTCCTTGGGAATGGATATCCAGACCCCAGTTCTCTGAATCACTCTGTTTTAACTAAATCAGCATTTCATCCCCTTTAAGCTCACTTTCACCATACTTCTATTATATGTGTTTAAAATCCATTCATGACTTTATAAAAACATCTCTTTGGGAAAAAGTGAGCCTGGGAAGGAAGTGTGGATTAGGGGCTTTGCTTTTTCCTTAAGATGATCTATTTTTTCCCTGGTCTTTACAAGTCATTTTCATGAGCCACTTGGGAATGTCCTTTTTATTTACTGTGGATTCCAGACAAACCCAGACTCTTGTACTGCACAGCCCAGCCCACAGCAGCCTTGGCCCAAGAAGCTGTCTGGGCTGGAGCGAAGATTGTGACCCTGCCCTGCCTTACGCAGAGGCACAGGCAGCTATAGGTGGAGGTGGAGGTGCCCCAAGACAAAAGGGAGACCCCCACAGGGTGCCTTCTGGTTACAGAGGGGGCCCGCCAGGATCTCTGCCTGCAACTGTGAGACACCTGGACTGGCCATTTTCTCCCCCTTAGCTCTTGTGGGCAGAGATTCCAGGTGCAACTGTGGAGGAAGAAAACCAATGGTCACTTCATGCAAAGTTTGTCCGACGAGGTGACCTGGTGAACTTGTAGAGCAGGCCTGGCTGGCTTTAGGACCCTGCAGGCTGTGGTGAAGGGGGTGGGGGATTTGCCAGGTTAGGGGGCCTCAGGGCAGGCCTAGTCCCATCTTGTCAAAGTCCCTCTGATGGCAGCACAGGTGAGTGGTGTCACTGGCTTTTTAGGGATGGACCTGAGTTGAAACATGACCAAATGAGCTCCAGCTAGACCCAGGGCAACCCTGGGGGTCTCCCCCAACTCAGGCTGAAGGGGAGCAAAGACATGCTGCAGCCTCTGCCTTTCTTTCCTGGATTTCTCCCTGGAGCCAGAGAGAGGCCAAAGAGTGGGCAGCTGCTACCCCAGCTGCTGTGCTCCAGAATCAGCCGTTTATCCAGGGATACTGTTTTCTTTAATTGGAAAATGGTATGGAGCCCAAGATCTGGGTGCTGGGTGTTCTCCTGGCCACTGGGGAGGTGCTACTCTAGCTTCTGTCAGTGGACAGAGCTAGGACATGTTTGTATGTGTACTCACCCATTTGTATACCTTGTTAGTGTATTTACATTACCATAAAGGAATTCCTGAGGCTGGGTAATTTATAAAGAAAAAAGGTTTATTAGGCTCATGGTTCTACAGGCTGTGCAGGCATGGAGCCAGCATCTGTTTCGGTGAGAAGCTTTCAGTCATGGTGGAAGGAAAAGTGGGAGCTGGTGTGTCACATGCAACAGAAGGAGCAAGAGAGAGGGGAAGGGTATCAGGCTCTTTTCTTCTTCTTCTTTTTTTTTTTTTTTTTTTTTTTTGAGATGGAGTTTTGCTCTTGTTGCCCAGGCTGGAGTGCAATGGTGTGATGTCAGCTCACTGCAACCTCCGCCTCCCGGATTCAAGCGATTCTTCTGCCTCAGCCTCCCAAGTAGCTGGGATTACAGGCGCCCCGCACTGCGCCCACCTAATTTTTTGTATTTTTAGTAGCGACAGGGTTTCACCATGTTGGCCAGGCTGGTTTTGAACTCCTGACCTCAGGTGATTCGCCTGCCTCAGGCCCAAAGTGCTGGGATTACAGGCGTGAGCCAATGCACCCTGCCCAGGCTCTTTTCGACAACCAGTCCTTGTGTGGACTAAGAGCATGAACTCATTCATCACCATGAGGAGAGCACCAAGCTATTCATGAGAGAGCTGCCGACACTGGGGCTCACATCCAAGCCATATCATATCCTGTGCCTTTAGTGCATTCTCTCTGTCCCTCTGTTTGTCCACTGAACTAAGCCTGGATTCACACTGATGTCTCAGACTCAAGGCCAGCCCTGCAGGACTCATTCCCACTCCTGCTGTTGATCCATAAGCCCCTCCACACTCCCCACAGGGAGACACTGGCTCTTGCCACACAGCATGCCTTTGCCTGTTTGTTCAAGCCCAGTGTGCCTGTGTGGAAGCTTTGGAATCATTAGCCTGCTCTCACTTGAATGCATGTGCTAAGGAGAGTACAGCGACTTTGTCTGAAGGTGTTTCTGGTCAGAATGCCCCTTTCCCAACTTACTTAGGCCAGCTCCTCTTCCCACCCCCTCGTGGAGGTTATGTTTGTAAATCAGTGAGTGTCTTCTCACAGTCTGTGTTCCATCCTGGGATTCCCCAACCTAGTGGTTGAGGTTTTGTAATTTGCATGCATTAAAAGTGAACTATTTGTAATGTGTACAGTTCTATGGGTTTTAACCAATACAGAGGTACTTGTAGCTGCTATTCCAGCAGCAGAGTATCTCCATCACCCTAAAAATTGCCCTGTGCATCATCCCCTTTATAATAGCCACCTCCTGATCCCCCAAATCTCATAACTCCTGATGTGTTTTCTGACCTTACAGTTTTGTCTTTTGCAGAATGTCATATGAATGGAGTCATATGATATATAGAACCTTTTGGTTCCAGCTTCTTTCTACTTATGCTATTTCATTAAAAAAAAAAAAAAAAAACAAAAAAAAAAACGTTTCGGGCCAGGTGCTGTGGCTCACGCCTATAATCCTAACAGTTTGGGAGGCCGAGGTGGGTGGATCACCTGAGGTCAGAAGTTCAAGACCAGCCTGGCCATCATGGTGAAAACCCATCTTTTTATATATATATAAATAAAACCAGTTTCGGTTTCACCAGAATTCTTAATCACGTGTTTTATTTTTTTGAAGTAGTAAGCATAGCTAGTTAAAAGTCTACATGTGATGTCTTTGCTACTTGGGGTTGTGTGGGTCAATTTCTATTGCCTATTGTTTCTGCTAGTTTTCATTTGTGTTGATTTGTCTTCTTGAATGTCTGGTTCTCTTTCATATTATATATGCAAAAATGTTTATAAAAATACTTTGAAGCATAGGATAATGTTATTATTGTTATTTTTTTTTTTTAACAGAGATTAGCTTCTGGCAGGTTCATAGCACAAACATTCTCTTTCATACAGCTCGGGAATTGAGGTCTCCTGAGCCACACTGATGACTGAAGCCAGGCTGTAGCCCTCATGAGGGTTAATTTTCTTGTTTTCTCAAAGAAGGCAATCTTTTGGTATCCCCACCCGAAAGGTGACCCCCCCCCCACCCCGCCTCCTGGGTTCAAGCAATTCTCCTGCCTCAGGCTCCCAAGTAGCTGGGAATACCAGCACCTGCCACATGCCCGGCTAATTTTTGCATTTTTAGTAGAGATAGGATTTCACCATGTTGGCCAGGCTGGTCTCAAACTCTTGATCTCAAGTGATCTGTCTGTCTCGGCCTCCCAAGTGCTGGGATTACAGGTGTGAGCCACTGTGCCCGGCCCCAGCTAGTGTTTCTGTTCTTGGTGGGCCTTGAATTCTGCTTTTTGTCTCCTTAGCCCTACAAAAGATCTTTGTGTTTCTTTGTCACTCTTGCAGCAACAGCAGTCACCTGTAGACTAAAAGCAGTCCTAAACAAGGTCATTCTTTATAACCTTGTCAATCTTATATCTTTAGCAGATGTTTGGCCCCTGAGCTGACAGTCCACTGTAGACTTGGGGTGTGGGCTTATTCTTCACTCTGGGCCACTGAGACCCATTTCTGAGAGAGATCCATGAACTGAATCTGAAGGACATTCATGGGGTGTGTGCCAGATCCCTACTGACTCCAGTAAGGCTGGCACCATGTCTGAGAGCTGGAGCCAGCGAACGAGATCTAGGGTTTATTGGGAGACTTCATACCGGGCAGCCCAGTGGCAGCAGACTAGACAGGAAGATTGCTACCCTTTGTAAAAAGCAGATAGTTGATGTAGATTTTCATTTAGCACCCTCCACCTAGCAACCTCTATTTAACCCAGAACAAAGCGCTCCTAGCCCCTGTACAGTCTGCATTCCAAGGGCTGGGCCAGGGGTTTGGATGTCCTTCACAGATAAGGAGTGAGTCTACAAATTGGCCACTCCTGGATTCCCTAACTCAGAACTCTGCCAACACTCTTCTTAGACCATACCACCATGCTCAGGGTCAGCATCGGTGATGGCTGTCAGATGCCTCTGTCATACCCAGAGGTGGCCCACATACCCTGGTGCTCTGTCTGTGCTGCTGGTGTTTGTGTGCAGCACCCCAGAGGAGCTTGAGGGGGGTCCTGGCGTACCTGCTGACTCACCTCCTTTTTGACCTGCTTGCGGCCCCTCTCAGGGCTTCTTTTTTTTCCAGAAAATTTATTAATAATATATGAATGTTCAAATTAAAAAAAAATAAGTATTTCCACCATTTTATCATGTACGTTTTTGAATGGCATTATAGAATGCCATCTCAGGAGTTCAAAGTCAGGGTGACAGTGACAGATTCATTTCCTAAATGCTTGGAAGGGAAATGCAGAGGAGAATTCAAAGTCTTACCTTAAAGCCTTTGGATAGCGACATGCACACAGCATTCCAGAGCACGGCTAGGTTCTGCCCAGGGCCCTCTGCCCCCTCCTCCGTCACTGTCCTTTGCTGTTTGCCCTTCAGCCTGATGGGCCTAGGCACCCCTAAAAAGGTGGGTGCCTTGGCCACAGAGCACCTGCTGCATGGCGGACCAGAATAGCAACATGCATGCCAGGAATAACTATAAGCACGGACAGAGCAGGAAAGCGCCCTGAGTTTATTTCAGGAGCTTGGGGGAGGAGCCATAAAAGACTCAAATGAGCCCTCATCCCCAGACCATCAAAATCACTTTTAAAGCATTTTCCTCCAGGGGACGGGATTGGATTCCATCTTTCTTGGGTAGAAATTCTTCTCGTGGTGGCAGTGCTGAGGCTCTTAGAAAAGGATTTTTTAAAACATGGTACAAAAAAGAATCTAACCAGTGAAGTTGATTATTCTTAAGGAAGCTGCTTTTGAACATGATGTGTTTGCTATCTGTGGTGTTATGATAGATACAGGTTTTTGTCTGTGGCTCCTGGCTTGTAACTCCCGTAGCCTGTGTTAGGGTCTTTTGTTAAAACGTTGGGTGCTTTAGAAAAACAGAATGTCTCTCGTCTTCCGACCTTCTTTCACCTGCCCTAAGACAGGACTCTATTCCTCCTGCACCTTTCTGACTGTGGGTCTTCAGACCCTCTCCAGAGGGAGCCCTGCCCTATGCCTTAGGGGAAGGAATGGTGATGGCATGGAGCCGCCGCCAAAACCAAGAGGACTGGGTTCCGGAGCTTCCCGAGAGCTGAACACGTGGAGGTTCCTGGAGGGTGGTGCCCAGGGAGGGCATGGACGCCCTGCGCCCCTTCCCCTGATTTCACCCTACGATCTCTTCATCTGTCGTCTTTGTAGTATCCTTTTAATAAACTAGCAAACGTGTTTCTTACTGAGTTCTGTGAGCTGCTCCAACAAATTAATAGAACCCAAAGAGGGGGTTGAGGGAACTCTAACCTGAAGCTGGTTGGTCAGAAGTTCCAGAGGCCTGGACTTGCGCCTGGTGTCTGGGAGCAGGGCAGCCCTGAGGATGTGCCCCTCTTCCCAGGTAGACAGCATGGGAATTGAACTGGAGGACACCCAGCTGGTGTCTGCTGCCTGGTATGTGGGAGAAACCTCCACACTTTTGGTCACAGAAGTGTTCTGGGGTGATGGTTACGGTGGCGTGACAGCAGAGGAAAAACACGATTGAGTTTTTCCAAAACAGTATCATTGCTCATTTCTATTTTCCGGTAGGAAACTTATGGTTTGGGCGTGTCCCTCCAACTGCTTGCTGGTGACCAAGGAGAAGGAACCACTTGGCTTTATTTGATAATAAACAAAGCATTAAGCCTGACCTGTTGGGTGTAGCACAAGTAGGTTATGGATTTCAGATGATGAATTACTGATCAAAAATTGCAGTGAAATCTCGAACTACAAAATTAACTAACTGGTTAAGATACTAAATTTGAAAGGAGAGATAAATCCTTGTTTGGCTACAGGCAGCTTACATTTTTCTCCTGGGTGAAAAGAATAAAACATGAAAAACCCTGATGTGGACACAGCATGTGGCCAACCAGGGATCCCTTCTTCCAGGTGGTTGCTGTGCAGGTGTCCAGCTCTCACCTCACTGCTTAGGGCAATGCATTTTCTGCAAACGTGAGAACTCTGATAGCAGCTGTTCCTTGGACTGGCAGGAAATACTTACATGCCTAACTGGTTCCGACCCATGAACCAGCCTCTGAGGCTCCTGCTGGTCCTGGGAGGCCGACAGCAGACGGGCCTGGGCTCCTGCCTCTCCTGCAGAACTACTCCTTCCTTCCTGCTGCAGAAGTGCTCAGGCAAGGGCTGCTGAGCTCATCAGAGCAGGGGACATGTGGCTCAGACACCCTCATCCACCCCCCAGAAAGTTCCAGGATGAGTTATGGAAACCTGGAAAGTCAGAAACACAGAGCACAAATCTGGAACAGATGTGTGTCGGGACTTTGTCGAGACAGAGTCCATGGAAGAAAGTGAGATGGCACAGTGGGTGCCATCAGCGGCCTCGTGCTGCCCAGCTCTAAGTGCAGAGAGGCAGGAACAGACCTGGGTGCAGGAGGGCCATGCTGCCTCCTGCAGTGAAGCCTGGTGGGGGTGAGGACTGCTCTGGTCACATTTCCTTCCTTTCATGGCCCCTGCACTGTTTGTGACAAGAGGGTAGACATGGAGGGGCCTGGGAGGATGGTCCCCACCTAGCTCTGATGGCCGCAGGGCTGGCCAGTACCACCAGCTGCCGATGCACGGCCCCTCATCACTTCCAGCTTCCTGTCCCTCTGCGGGCATGTCCAGGACAAGTGCAGATTTAGGGACTTAGCCAAGCTACCCTGCAGCCTGGCTCAGCTCCTCCTTCCCTGCGTGACCCTGGGCAGATGATCTCATCCCCTCTGAGCCTTCGTCCACAAAGCTGCAATGGTGATTGTCCCCGTCAGGCCTGTGACAGTGGCCAGGCTGTGTCAGGACAGCCCTGGGCCCACTACAGGAGCCCCGAGCCCCAGGGGAAAGTGGCCACTGCCCTGGCTCTTACTGTCCCTATTCCTTCTTGATTGTCCCTGTTCCTTCTTGTCACAGCAGCTCCTATGCTAAATTTCCTGCCTTCTGTACCACTAAGGGAGGACACTGGGCTGTGTTATTCCTGGGCACATCTACAACACTTAGTGAGCCCAGCACAAAGCAGTGCCCAGGTGTTTGTGGAAGGAGTCCATGTCCTATCTGCTGGGATTCCTCTTTGTCCCTTTCTCTGAGTAGATTAGGGCCCCTCACCTCCCTGAGAAATTTTCCTTCCTGGGCTGTCCCTGCCTAGTGCAGAGCTCAGCCCTACTGCTTTGTGGAGCTTCTCCCAGGGTACTCCCAGACACTCCCTGGGAATTGCATGGCAGGGAGTCACCTCCGTTCTCTGGGCCAAGGGCATGCCTGGGCTGAGGCTGCTTGCCCAGCTCATCTGAATGCAGAGGAAGACTTCTCTTTGCACCGAGGGGAAGGGTGCTAATCACACCATTGACTGAGTCTTCAGGGGCACTGGGGCATATCAAGATCCTGGCATCCAGGAACCAAACACCTGAGGGAGGAGAGGAGGCACGGGTGAGGCTGAGCAGGACAGAGGGCAGAATGTGAGCTCAGCCTCCAAGAGGAAGGGAGCAGCAGTAGGGAGTAATGAGACGGGAGGCTCCTGGGAGGAGGGACACATGGCCCATGCCTGTGCAAACACACCATCGGGCATGGCAGGATTCTGTGCTCCGTGCATGTGCCTAGCTCAGATGTGTAAAACCCTGTGTGCAAGGAACAGAGTGCCACTGGGCTGCCACAGGTATGGCTGTGGGGACTATTGCATGTGCTACAGGTACGGCTGTGGGGACTATTGCATGTGCACCAGGAAAATGGACCTGTATGCTCCTGTCCCAGGTAACTGAATCCATTTGCTATCAGAATGGAAAACCATTCAACCTGTTGGGATCACTGGCAATTTCTCATCCTGTGACTCAGTGATTTTACTCTATGTGTGTTTTTTTTTTTTTTGAAACAAAGTCTCACTTTGTAGCCCAAGCTGGAGTGCAGTAGCGCTCACTGCAACTTCTGCCTCTGGGGCTCAAACGATTCTTGTGCCTCAGCCTCCTGAGTAGATGGGATTACAGGCGCCAGCCACCATGCCTGGCTAATTTTTTGTATTTTAGTAGAGATGGGGTTTCACTGTGTTGCCCAGAGTGGTCTCGAACTCCTGAGCTCAGGCGATCCACCTGCCTTGGCTTCCCAAAGTGTCGGGATTACAGTCAGGAGCCAGTGCACCCGGCCCACTTTATGTATTTGTCCAGAAGTAATGAAAGCCTATGTCTACCAAATGCTCAGAAATGTTCATAGCAGCTTTATTCACAAACTGGAAACAACCCAAATGTCCATTAACAAGAAAACACACACACAAATGGTGGTGTAGCCATGCAGCAGGAGCCTATTCATCAATAAAAACATTACAAACTGCTGAAACCCACAACAATTGGGACAAATCTCAGAAATCTCAGGCTGAGCAAATGAAAATTGACTAGAAACAGCGCAGGCTGTGATTCTATTTGCATGAGACTTAAGGACAGAATAAATCTAAAGTGAGCATACCTGTACAATAGCTGCTTTGGGGCAGTGGGAAGGGCAGGAGGCTCTCACAGGTAGTGGCAATATTCTGTATCTTGGCTGTGATGAACTGGGGGATGTCTTTGCTAAAATTCATCCTACTATACTTTGATATTTGTGTATTTCACTGTATATAAAATATACCGCAATAGAATTAATTTCATTGGAAAACACTGCAGATTTGAAGGTGACATTTCTTACTTCAGTAGCCACATTATAGCATCACAGCAATGCATCAGGTTTTCCAGATGAATTAATTCCAGAGCCAACTGACAGGCATGGAGTGCCTTGATTAAATGTGAGTCAGGTCCGCTGGAGAAGAGGCCTGGTCCCTGGAGAAGAGACCAACTGTGTTACCCCAGATGCGTTTTGCAAACCTCCCCAGGAGCCTCTGGCTTTTCTCTAGGGTGATTGAGCCCTGGAGCAACAGGCTTGTTCTGACAAATGTCTCCTCCTGAATTACCGCAGGGTAAGGGAATGTCTTGGTGTAATTTGGGGATTACTTGGCACTGGCTCTGAGCTGTCAACAATTTTGGGGACTTTAAGACACTACCATGGCCCAGCAGTCAAAGTGGGGGCTTATGGATGTCTGATGATAGGTCCCAAGTGTGAATTTCCATGGGACGGTGTCTGTGGATTCTCCGGGGTTTATGTCCCCCACTTCTGAAATACAGTTGAAATAGTTTCACTCAGCAACAGGCAGAGCCCCCACAGAAGCCCTACATTGGCTCTTCTGCCGTGCAGCCAATGCCATCTTGGTAGGAAGTGGAAAGAAAGGGAAAGTCTTGGAATTTGCCCTCCCTACCTCAATAGTAAATCAAAAATTAACCCCACATCCTAGGGGAGTTACAGAGATTAGTGCCGCTATCAACTACTGGAGAGATTTCAGGGTGGAAGTTCCTATTATGTCCCTGCTTCCCTGGCCTGCTTGACCTCTACTAAAGACAGATAGGTCTTGAGGAAAAACAGTGCGTCAGAGTGAAGGTAACCAGCTGGTGACTCCAATTGCAGCTGCTGTTCTGGATGAAGCTTCCTTTTTTTTTTCTTTTTTGAGACAGTCGCTCAAGCTGGACTGCAACCTCTGCCTCCTGTTTCAAGTGATTCTCCTCCCTCAGCCTCCTGAGTAGCTGGGATTACAGGTGTGTGCCACCATGCCCGGCTAATTTTTGTATTTTTAGTAGAGATGGGGTTTCACCATGCTGGCCAGGCTGGTCTCAAACTCCTGATCTCAGGTGATCCGCTTGCCTCTGCCTCCCAAAGCACTGGGATGACAGGTATGAGTCACCGCGCCTGGCCTGAAGCTTCTTCGTTGGAGTCACAGTTGCAGCCTCATGGCACTGAGAGTTGGCTCTTTATGTCAATTTCTAAGGACACCAGAAACAATCTGCTCTGTCTAGGGTGCCCACAGCACCCCTTCCCACTTTGCCTCAGGGTTATGCCAGTTTTCCTGCTCTCTCTGCCATGATAGCATCCGCAGACATGCCACAGAAAACCATAGCGGGCCACACCGTTAACACTATGCTGATTGGTGCTGATGGGATGGGAGTAGCACGTACATTAGGAGCCTTTGTTTTGGGATCTTTGGGGTGTTGATTTTCTTCCCAGAAACCTCCCTGGTGTGTTTGTCCGAGTTCTTGTTCTGCATCTGGGAAGAATGAAGTACTGGGATGAGGGAAGGGTGAAGAAGATGAAGAACTTTATTTAGTGTTAGAACAGCTCAGGGAAGACCTGCAGAAAGCAGCTCCTCTCTGCAGCTGGCCATTCCATCTTCTGTCTGTCCTCTCCCTGTCTTCTGGTTGACTGTCCTCTGCCCTGCTCTAGCTGAGCCCAGGGCTGTTATGGACCTCAGAGGGAGGAAGTGCAGGCTGACTGGTCCATGGGTGCCATGGCAGGCCAGAGGAGGTGCCAAGAGGCCCTACTCTGGTCCATGGGATTGGCAGCCCATCTCCCAGCCTTCAGGCCCTCCCTGGCCTGAAGGTGGGGCCTTATAGGGACCTCCCCTACTTCTCCCCAGGCCCTCTGCTGCCATTCATGGCCCCACAGCCTGGCCTCAACCCAGCTTCGAGATTGGAGCAGGAGAAGGGCTAGGCAGTGGAAGCAGACATCGGGGGTGGCGGGTGGGGACCGAGGGTGCAGGCTGCAGAGATTCCCGGTCCTGCACCTGGGAGGGCCGTAGCTGCAGCCGGGGAGCTCCCACCCCACCTGCATGTGTGATTGCACATGAAGCTGCAATCTGTCATCAAATTAAGATGTGGTATGAGGGGATCGGCTGGAGAAAATCCAGCAGGCACAGGTCAGTGTGTCAGCAGGTGGCTGAGACCCCTGTAACATGCACTCCTGATTGACTCCTCTCTCAATCTATGTCTGTGGCTCATACAAACTCCTGTGACCAGATGGCCGAGACCTGCCTTCAGGTGGTTCTCTGGGATATGTGAGTACCAGCTGAGAGTGGGCCCTGGGAGCTCTGGAGTGTCCTTGGAAGATGGCGGGGAAGGGAAATTGTCCCAGTGGATGGAGCATCCCTTAACCCAGTCAAGTCGACACATACAGCTAACCATCACAGTCAGCTAGGGATGCTGCTAAACATCCTGCACACAGGACTGTCCCCAACAGAAAAGAATGATGTGGCCCCAAATGTCAGCAGTGCCACTGTTGAGAAACCATGCCTTACACTGATTCATGAGCAGGGGAAAAATAGTTTGACTAGATGTTCGGGGACTTGGAAAGAACAGGATTCCAAGATTGGTGAAAAGGAAGCATGGTCAGTGACAGATGCACGTATAGGAAGGTGGGGAGAGGTATGTGGATGGATCGCTCAGAAGGTGGTGTAAAGAGACAAGATATTTGGGTGGCATGTTTATGCTCACCAGGAGCTCCCTGTACAGAAGAGGCTTTGAGACTCGGGTGGACAAGAGGGCATGCTCTGTGATGCTCTGTGATGACCCTCCCACCGGCCATCCTGATGTTTATTCAGTGTGCCTAGGGCCATGATTGTAGGGATGGAGGCTGTGAATGGGCACAAATGACATGAATTTCCTCTTGCCAAGGCCAGCCTGGAGGCCACCACTGCTCTGCTGGAGTGACCTTCTGACAGCCTCCTCTACAGTGCATTGCCGGGAGGGCCGGGCAGATTCCTGTTGGCTAGCTGGACCCCTTCATAAGGAAAAACAATTTTCCCTCACTGGAATAGGTGTGCCCTGAATTCAGATTTGCTTTCCCTGTCTGCAATGCTGCTGTCAAAAGCCACTATCATGGACTTAAAGAATGCCTTATTCATCGCCGTGGTATTCTACACAGTGTTGTTTCTGATGAAAAATTTCAATTGTACAGCAGTGAGATCATGCACAATGACCCCACTTACTCCACATCCCAATGACCCAGAAGCAGCTGGCCTGATAGAGCCATGGTCCTGCCTACCGAAGGCTCCGTTAGAATGCCAGCAGGGAGACAGCTCCCTGAAAGGTCGGAGTTCTACCTTACAGATGGAGTTTGGGATTTGAATCAGCAACTGCCATATGGTCTGCCATATGGTGGTCCTATGGCCGGAACACACGGTCTGGGAAATGAGGTGGGCGTGTGAGTAGCGCTTGTCACTACGAAGCCTTGTAACCAAGAATCTTACCTCCCCTGCCCCACACCTTAGCACTTCTCTGCTTTGTAGTTCTTGCTTCCCTAGGGAGGAGAGCTTCCCAACAGGCAGTGCAGTGATTTCGTTGAACCCAGAGCTGAGACCTGGCCATTGTGGGCTTCTGAGCTACTGAATCAATGCAAAGAAGGTCGTTACTCTACTGGCTGAGTGACTGAAAGTGTTATCAAGGAAAAATCGAGTTGTTCCTACATAATGGGGGCCAAGAAATGATGTCTGAAATGTAGGGGACTCTCTGGGGTGCCTTTAGTTATCCAAAAATAAGTCAATGGTAGATGATGGCATCCAACGAAAGGACTTGTGAGGGCTCAGAATCTACAGGAATGAAAGTTTGGATCATTCATCAGGTAAAGAATCCCAAAAAGTTGAGATCTGCCTGAGAGCAAAGCCAACTTGGAGTGGCTATGGAAAACAGGAGTTTCGAACATCAGCAGTGCTGGCCAGCTTCGGTTCCTGCAACCGGGGCCTGCAGCAGGGAAGCATATTTGCCTGTCTTCCTTCTTGCTCGGTGTGCATGTATACACACATGTGTATGTACATACATGCATATGTGTGTATACATGCATGTGTGTAGGTGGGTCAGGACACACATGGACTTGCTCTTTCCTTTTGCTTCTAGTTTCTCTCAGTGTTGTCTTGGCAACAGCTCTTCACTTGCTAGCTGCAGTTTGTTTCAATTTTGTTTTTCCCCCCACCTTGGAGAAGGGGCTAAATCACACCCCCTACTGAGACACCAGCAACCCTCCCTGGAGATCTGAGCCTAGCACCGTGAGCCTCCCCCCTCTGGCCTCCTGAGGCACAGGCACCAGCTGGGAAGAGCTCCTTTTTCAAAGGTCTGAGCTCAACGCTGTGGAGCCCTGCCCTCTCTGCCTATGGATTTTAACAACGCGCCCTCTTTGCTTTGCCCCTGACCCTGTGAGGGAGCTGCATCCTGTAGGTTCTCTGCGGACCTGTGTGTCTCCTTTTGGTGTTTTTTAGGCTTGCCATACCTGCTTGACTAGTTGCCCACATTACATTCTCTGTTAAATTAACTGGGGTGACTTCTGTTATTCTAAATAATACTCAGATTCCTTGATTTGTTGGGGAAACCTCAAGAGCCTTTTCTTGAGTCTGTCGTTTTACAGAACAGAAACCTGGGGCTGGCAGGGTGACATGCTTTTCTCAAGGTCAGTTTTGGAGCCAGACTGTCTGTCTCCCAATCCAGGGCTCCAGCACCACCCTATGTAGTCTTCTAGGCACTTTTTAAAGCTTCAAATGCAGGATTTTGCCTTTCATAGGGGATTCTCTGCCTGTCCTGCACAAACTTAGAACAGTTTCCTATTTCCTTGTGTAGAAAAACATTGGAGCCAGAAACGGATGGTTCCATTGGCCTTAACGGGATTCTTTGGGTATGTAGTGGCCATTGCTCCAGCCAATCCCACAGCCCTGCCAGGCATCTTTCCTCTTCTCCCATCTGTGCTAACTCACCCCCCACCTGGAGCCAGATGGACTTGTATGTCACCTTCCCTGACTGTGAGCTCCTCCTGGGCAGGGGCCTTGCCCATTCCTTGGGATGACCATGTGCTCTGATGCTGGGAGCACAGACCCTCATGTCAGACACACCTGAGCTGGAATCCTGGCTTAACGATTTACCTCGTCAAACCTTACTTTTCTTGTCTACCACCCAGAGATTTTGCTATCTCCCACTATGCACAAAATGTGCCACCCCCCATGATGCCTATGCAGTGCATGAGGGCATGAGGCACTGTCATCACCACCTCCATCGCTGTCCCAGTGCATGGCACACAATGGGTTGGGACTGAGTCCTGGGTACACCATACCTGCTTAAGCAGGCCTGCGGCCCTGGACCCCACCCACAGCCTCCTGAGGGGGCACCTTTCTTTTACAGAGGCAGTGCCTCTCCTCCATAAAAGAGCACTCACAGATAAAAATTCACAGCAAAATCATCCTCCTCTTCCTCTTCTTCCTCCCCTATGCTCCCAGCAGCCATCCTCTTGCTTACAGTTGCAATCTCTGGTGAAGACATGTTAAGGATAACCCTATTCAGCTTTTGATATGGTTTGGCTGTTCCCCCACCCAAATCTCATCTTGAATTGTAGCTCCTATTATACTCATGTGTTGTGGGAGGGACCTGGTGGGAGAGAATTGAATCATGGAGGCGGTTTCCCCATACTGTTCTCTTGGTAGTAAGTCTCACGAGATCTGAGAGTTTTATAACGGGTTTCCCCTTTTGCTTGGCTCTCATTCTCTCTTGCCTGCCACCATGTAAGACATGCCTTTCATCTTCTGCCATGAATGTGAGGCCTTCCCAGCCACGCAGAACCGTGAGTCCATTAAATCTCTTTTTCTTTAGAAATTATCCAGTCTCAGGTCTATCAGCAGTGTGACAATGAACTAAATACAGCTTTCATCTAGATAGAAAGTGTCTTGGTCATTTTAAAAAGGAGAGATACTTTCCTCTTATATGAATGAAACTTGGCTGGGATGATGGCTTGTGCCCATAATCCTAGCAGTTTGAGAGGCCAAGGAGGGTGGATCACTTGAGGTCAGGAGTTTGAAACAAACCTGGCCAACATGGTGAACTCTCTCTCTAAAAATACCGAAAAAAAAATTAGCTGGGCATGGTGTGCACCTGTAATCCCACCTACTCATGAGGCTGAGGCAGAACTGCTTGAACCTGGGAGGCGGATGTTGCAGTAAGCCAAGATCATGCTGATGCCTGGGTAACAGAGAGCTTGAAAAAAAGAAACTGGATAACTGAATTTACATCTCATTTGGCTGGGAAAACACTTAAACAAAACTGATATGGATGGATGCTGATATAGTCTTCTTCCTCTTGGCAATAAAGCTTTTCTTAGATGCTATTTTACCAAGAACACAGGAGTCAGTGGGCAAATAATTGGACCAACCAATACTTTATAAACATGTTAATTTTATTGAGTAGGCATCAAAGCGTCTCTCTGTGTCAGTTAATGGAGAGGCTGTCACACAGATTACAGAGCTATTTTTACTGAAATAATCTTTCATAAAAGAAAGAAATTAAATACAATTCTTCTATAAAAAATGCAGTAGTCATTACTGGAAATTTTCCAAAATGAAAGCATGATTTACTACATATTGCAAAAATTGGTTTAGTGCTTTAATACTTTACAAAGTAATATTCCAACCACTGACGACAGCTCTTACAATGGGTTTGTTCTCCAAGAATGGACCAGATTGAAAAGGGAAAGTTGCATTGACTTGGAATGAACAGCTGCAGGTACAAAGGGGTTCTGCACAGCTGGGTCAGAGTAACGTGACTTGTGACCTATTTTTGCCTTAATATTTTCCTTTGCCCACAGTAATTAAAGAAATGGGAGAAATAAAGCAACATATGTCATCAAAAGATCAAAAAAAACAAGAATGGAATATTCACTGACTTCATTAGGCCAAATGCTTGTTGAAAGGAACAAAGCAAATACAGAGTGGGGATGGTCCTTGTTATAATTAACTTCAACAATCCTTAGTTAAAACTAGGCGAAATTCTCAAAGGTGATGGCGAATGGAGTCACTAAGGAGCTTAGTCTTTCTGTGGACCCAGGTAAGCCTGCTCCTCGCACCTAACGGTGCCTGTACTTGTAGGACTAATAGCCCAGAGTTTCCCACCTGGGCGCCCAGGGAAGACAGGCTGCAGCTGAATGGTGACTGGCTCTGTCAGAGGTGAGGCTTGCCTCTGTGTGTACTGGGGCTCGAGGCCACGGCTGATCTCCAACACTGTGCATGGTAAACTTCCTAGTTTTGGTCCTAAGTTAGTGGAGACAAGCGGCCCCACTCCCTGCTGCCAAGTCATCATTCCATATCAGGTGTTTGGATTTCATTCCTGCACGCGGGAAGAATGTGTGCAAAGAGCTGGACAGCCGATAGGGCCTGGGAGACCTCCATGGACGTCTGCCATGGAGAACATTTGCATGGACCAAGGGGGCAGGCTCTTGGGAAGCACACTCTCTCTCCCCAGGTGCTGGCAGGAGCAGGCCACCAGTCTGTTTGAGCAGCAATGAAAGGGACACTGTTTGGCAATTCAAGCACAGGAACGCACATGTGTGGGCCCACTCACTGCCGGCTGGACAGCTGCAGAGGGGGCGTGATGATGGAGACCTTATGCCCCCTCCCACGAGGGACCTGAAAATATGGCATCAAGAGAAATGACAGCAAAACCACTGAAGAGGATTAAAGAGAAGGACAAAGCCTTTAACCAGGCCACAGTAGGACAAAGGTCCCATAAGAAACTTGTAACAGTATTTTGCCAACAACTCTTAGAAGAAAACGCGTTTGGCCAAAGGACCTAGAAGTAAACACCAAGGTTAGGTAGTTGTGAAAATCATCTGGCCAGGGGCAGGAAGGTCTTTGGAGGACCCACGCCTCCCCTGCTATGGGTGGGGCCACCTGCCAGCACTGGAGGGCCACCGTGCTGGGGTCTAGGCCCAAGGAGGTGTGTGTTGTTTGGCTCTGTGGTGTCAAGGCTCTGACCTTCCAGTGCACCCCCTCCAGGGGCCAAGGGGGATACTCAGGGGCCTTGGCTCTCTTGCCCTGCTGCTTCCAAATTTGTCATTGAAGTCGCCCAGCCCTGTGCTGGTTAATGTTTGTGACAAGCTCCTCTTCCTCTCCAGCCTTGCTTTGGTGGCTCTAGGATGAGTCTAATGGTCAGGTGGACTTTCCCTGGGCTGGGCCATCTGCTGCCACCCGTGCTCAACTGGGAAGGACTAGGAGACGGCTAAAGACTGATTACAAAGGATTCTCTGGAATGGTCCATGTCTACAGTGACCTCGTGGAGTGATGACAGGAGCCCGCTACTGTGCACCTGACTACAAGAGCTATCCATAGAAAACTCTTTTTCATCCCAGCTGGTTCCAAAATGCTCCCCTGTGAACAGTGAGCCTCACATCTGTGAGTAGGGGCTAGCAGCAGGGCAGGTGTTCACAGACAAAGAGAAGCTACTGCTGCTGCCTGGTGTATATGCTCAATGATATATCTAGCCATCTTGTACCCACAGGAGCCAGGTCACTGGGTCAACTAAAATTCTCCACAGTTAGGGACAGTAATAGAAACTGGATTTGAGGTGTGCTGTAGCTGGCCTAGAGTTAGAACCTAAGCAACGCCATTTTATACAAGATAAACCTGTTTTTCCAAAAATAAGTTGTAACTGCTGCCCCATTCTCCTTGCAGTAACTGCTGACCTTGGCTTCTGTAAATAAAAACAGCTAGCTTGCTCTGAAAAATGCCCACTATGTAAAGCTGCTTGCCTTTGCTTATCAGTAACTGCCAGAATAAGCTTCTGTAAAGTTGCTTGCCCTGCATCCCCTCACCCTCTTGGTCCTAAAACCAGGATGTGGTTCTTCAGCTTAAAAACCCTGCTTTCCCCAAGCTCGGGGCCACGGGTTGGAGAGATGTGAGTCCTCCGTGGCTGCCAGCAATAAAGACCCTACAATTTGGCATACTTTTGTCTTGGTGTTAATTTTTTATACTCAATCTGATATTGCATTTTGGAGGCTCCAGCGAGATTTTATTTATATTCCTCCATCACCTAGACAAAAGCCCTTAGAACTTCGCCCGGGCAGCCACTCCTGCCTTGGGGATCTCTGGGGGAGGCGCCCCCTACTGATGTTCCAGGGCTCCAGAGTTTGGCCCCGTGACGGACAAGCGACTGCTCAGCCGACATTCACCCCAAATTCCTTCAGGGTCCTGGAAACCTCCAGAGGTAAGTCTGTTCTGGGTCTGAAATCTGAGAACCGGTCCATCTGTATCTGTAGCCTGAGTCAGGGGACCGGATGCAGTCACTGGAACTCTGACCAGGCAACCTCCCAGAGATATCACCCGAGGCTCTGGTATTTCCGTAACCTCTCATTGTGTGGAGGCTGTGGTATTAGTTTTCAGTTGTTTTCCATAACCTCTGTGTGAGTGAGAGAGTGAGTGTGTATATATGTAGTCCCATGGCCAGTAGGCTATGGGGCTTGTGAGGGCCTTCACCCGCGGTTCCATGGGAGCGTCATAAGGCATAACGGTGATTCATCTCAGAACTAAAAATTCTGAGGTGACCAGGCCTGGGGTTTATACGGGTTCACCTTAGCCAAGACGTCCTGAAATATCCCTCCGGGGACATGGCGGGGCAGGCATCAGACTGGTCTCCCATCTGGGGGGCACCCATCCTTTGTCAATCCTGTATGTGGTTCTGTCCTTACTGCAAATTTACCAGTTTTGTTAGACTCCTGTTGGCTGATATACAGTGGTTTAGGCCTGCTTCCCTTGAAGTGAAAAATATTCTACAGTGGGTAACGGACCACTGGCTGCAGGGGACCTTTACTGAATTCATGCCCCTAGAAGTAACTCTGTTCTCCTTCCTTCTCCTGTTCTTTTACTACTACTGAAGGCTCACTTCCTCTGACTCTGCCATGTGGCAAATAGCTTTAGCCCTATCTTTTTGTTTTCTTTCTTATTATAATCATTGTGGCCTGTAGGTTCTCTCAGCCACCCCCTCCAGGACAGGAGTATTTCTGCCTGTGTTGGGTATAATTTCCTTTTCCCTCATCAGCTACCTACTCCTCCCCCAATCTCTTCAGGACACTCCTTCCCTTTTCTAATGTCCAAAGGAAAATTCTGCCTGCTACAAATTGAGTGTCGTTTTTTCTCTGTCCGGGGAAATCAACTCCTAGACAGAAAAGTGCCAACTCTTCTTAGCTGGTTGGGGTGGAAACAAAATAATTGTTCTGTCAAAAGAATATTTAGTGTTACGGCCAGTCCTCTGAAGCCCACCTTATTTAGTTTTTTAGTACCACCCTCACTGCTGGGAGGTGGGGTGTCATGGCTTAATAGGAACAGACTGGCAAATCTCTTGCCAACTCTACGCTGTGGTGGATACAAAATTCACACCCTGTGGACCTCCTAATTCATTTGTTTTGCCATTTTCCAGCTTTCCCAAGGCCACTAGACGCCAGGTGTCATTTAAGAGAAGACCACGCCCAAGTGGTACTAAACCTATACAAGGCCTATTACTGGCCCCTCTGGGGCTTCCTAGAGGAATCCTATCCTCACTCTTGGCTGCTTCCACCTGTTTCCCTGACTCATACAAAAGACAGAGAGAGAGAGAGAAAGTAAAAAGAGGGAGAAACAGAGAGAAAGGAGGGAAAGAGGAATTTAATGTCTTTTAGGGTCCCTGTATCAAGGCGACCAAAAGCAGCAGGGGCAAGAAACTCGCAGCCAGGCAGCAGCTGTGAGTTTAGTTTTAAACTGACAGGAAGAGCATTTATCTTCCTTTCCTCTGCCGGCTGCCAGTCCTGCCTGGCTTTCAGGCAGGCCGCACCACCTCAGGTTGCAAGATTTGCATCCAAAATACAACTTAAGAAAGATTTCTGTTTGCCCTTTCTGCAAGTAGCCTGTTAGCATAGTAGAAAAGGGATAAAGCCTACAACTGCAAGGTTGCTGGTTCTAATCCTCAGTGGAGCCAGTCTTAAAATAAGCCTCTTGGAAAAATTCGGAAGCTGAAAGCTATAGGACTTTGTGTTTAGTATAAGTTGTCTGGCTTAGAATTGGCTTTCTCTACAGCAGAACTTTTCTATCTAAAAATCATAGTTAAACCATTTCCAGGCCCTCAAAAAAAAAAAAAAAAAAAAACCCAAATGGGGTCGTCTAGCTCCTGGCCTTGCACCCCACCTCCAACGTATGATGGCCAACTTCAAGGTTGGGTTTTCAGGCCAATATGGGGTGAAATTAACCCCTGAAAAACTCTGCTTTTTATGTGAACTAGAATGGCCATCTTTTGGAGTTGGGTGGCCTGACACTGGGACCTACAACCCAAAAATTACCCAGGTGGTATGGAAAATGGTCACGGGAATGCCTGGACACCCTGATCAGTTTCCATACATTGACCAATGGTTGGATTTAGTCCAACGACCCCCTCCGTGGCTGAAATGCTGCATAAAACAGGCTGGACTTCAGGTTATGTCAGCCGGCCCAAAAAAGGTCCCTACAGTACCGGCTGTTCTCCCTGCCTCCGCAGAGGATTAAGAGTTACCTCCACCTTACTTTAAATCCTCTGGACAGGGTTCCCGGCACCCCTCTCCAGACAGTACTGGCAGCCAACCCTTACCCTCTGGACAGGGGTCCCAGCTCCCCTCTCCAGACAACACCAGTAGCCAGCCCTTGTCCCCACTCCACACCCATAGTGGGGCTCCACACCTGCCCAGGGTATTACCCCTTCGGGAGGTGCCCCCAGTGGAAAGCGGTAGCCGGGGCCACCCCTTCTTTGTCCACATCCCTTTCTCTAGTGATTTATACAATTAAAAGGCTCAACACCCTCCATTTTCTGAAAAGCCCCAGGCACTCACAGGGCTCCTGGAGTCTGTTTTACAAACTCACCGCCCCACCTGGGGTAACTGTCAACAATTACTGCCAGTACTGTTTACTACAAAAGAGAGGAGCAGAATTAGACAGGAGGCCCATAAGGCCATCATTGGAACAGGGGGAGGCTTGGCAGAGGACCGCCTAGAACAAATTAATAAGATTTTCCCTTCCACCTGACCCCAATGGGACCCAAACACCTTGGTGTAAACAATTTTCACCGGTACCCACTAGAAGGGGTTAGGGGAGCAGCCCGCAAGCCCACTAACCTCTCCAAGGTGGGAACTGTAACTCAGGGTCCGCAAGAGTTGCCAGCTGCCTTCCTTGAGCATCTATAAGACGCTTATCGCACCTACACTCCTATTGACCCTGAGGCTCCAGAAAATCAGCGGGCCATCAATCTGGCTTTCGTTTCCCAGTCAGCCCCAGTTATCAAAAAAAAGTTACAGAGGTTAGAGGGATTCCAGGGAATGAATTTAACCCAATTGCTGGAAATTGCCCAGAAGGTCTTTAACAATAGAAACACTTCAGAAGCTATACAGGATAAAAGAATTACTAAAGCAGTAATAGCAGCTCTTCGGGAAACCTGAGTTATCCCATGGGGAGAGGGAACCTCACAGGGGAGCCTGTGGGATCCCCGGCCCAGGCTAGGACACAACCACTGCGCGTACTGCTGACAAGAAGGTCATGGAGGAGGGAGTTCCCGGAGGGGAGAAGGCGAGAAACGGCACAAGGAAAGCCATCGAGGGCCATTCTCAGTTTAGAAAGCCAGGATTGACGGGGCCAGGGCTCTTATTTATTAAGCCCCCAGGAGCCCAGGGTCACTTTAAAGATTGGGAGCACACCTGTCAGCTTCTTAGTTAACACTGGGGCAGCCCAGTCAGTCCTTACTCCGCCTCTGGGACCACTATCCAGTAGAAGAACAATTATTCAGGGGGCCACAGGAAAAACCACAGCAAGCCCTTGGACCACCAACCTACTCGCTGGTCTAGGGAATGGTACTGTCACCCACTCCTATTTAGTTATTCCAGAGTGTCTGTACCCACTCCTAGGACGGGATTTACTCCACAAACTTCAAGCAAATATTTCTGTGAAAGTCAGGCTTGCCTCTCAATTCCTCCTCCCTTGGCATCAGGGCCACCTCAGCAGATCATCACCTGTGCTCTGTCAAACGAGTATCTCTTGCAGGAAGCTTTATTCTCAAAGGCAGATCAACCACCACCATCAAACCTCCTCCTCCAGTTCCAAGAAAATGTACCTGGAGTGTGGGTTGAAACAAATTCCCCAGGCTTGGCAAGTCACCGTACCCCAGTCGTGGTCCAGCTGTTGGCAACGGCAACTCCAGTCCAGGTACAACAATATCCCATGAGCCAGGATGCCAGACGGGGAATTGCTCCACATATAACCAGAATCCTAAAAGGAGGGATCCTTACTACCTGTAAGTCCCCCTGGAATACCCCCTTACTCCCCATCTTAAAACCAGGCACAAAGGACCATCCGCCTTAAGGGAGGTAAACAAACGAGTGGAAACTGTCCACCCTATGGTTCCAAATCCATACACCCTCCTGAGTCTCTTGGGCCCAGAACACCACCATTACACTGTCTTGGATCTCAAGGATGCATTATTTTGCATCCCACTGGCCCCTGTTAGCCAGCCCATATTTGCTTTTAAAGGGACTGACCCCAATACTGGGGTCTCGGGGCAACTCACTTGGACAAGACTGCCCTAGGGGTTCAAAACTCCCCCACTCTGTTTAATAAGGCACTTAGCCAAGATCTTGCTGCCTTCCGAACTGAGTTCCCAGAGTGTACCCTACTCTAATATGTGGATGACTTACTCTTAGCTATAAAAACCCAGGAGGCCTGTAAAGAAACCAACCAGTCATTATTAAAAACCCTACAAACTTTGGGTTACTGGGTCTCAGCTAAAAAGGCCCAACTCTGCCAACCGAAAGTTACTTACCTAGGCTATATTGTAAGAAAGGGCAACCGGGCACTGGCACCCAGCTGAGTCCAAGCAGTGCTGCAAATACCCATCCCCACCACAAAATGCGAAGTTCGAGAATTCCTTGGGGCAGTAGGGCACTGCAGGTTATGAATTTTAGAATTTGCCGAGATAGCCAAGCCCCTGTATGCCTGCACTGGAGGAAATCAGCCTTTAACTTAGACGGAAATAAAGCAATGGGCTTTTGACAAACTCAAAACTGCCCTAACTATGGCCTCAGCCTTGGCCTTGCCAGACATCTCTAAACCCTTCCGGTTATTTGTGCATAAAAAACAGAGAGTTGCTAAAGGGGTACTCACCCAAACATTAGAACCATAGTCCTGGCCAGTCTACCTTTCAAAAAAACTTAATCCCGTAGCCTCTAGGTGGCCAGCTTGTCTGAGGTCGGTGGCAGCAACAGCCCTGTTAGTCAAGAAGGTGAACAAACTAACCTTGGGGCAAGAGTTAAACTTAGTGGCACCCCACAGGGTGGAGTCACTACTCCGCGGAGCTCCGGGAAAATAAATGTCAAATGCCCACATAGTTCAATATCAGGCCTTACTTTTAGAACAGCCCCGTATAAAATTTTTAAAAGCTACGGTTTTAATCCCTGCCACATTGCTACCTGACAGCAAGCCAGAGGAGCCCATACATGACTGCCAACAGACAATGAATGTCCTCCACGCTGCTCAACTGGACCTCACTGACGTCCCCCTGCAGAACCCAGAGGTGGCACTGTATATGGACGGCAATAATTTCATGGTCAATGGAGTCAGGTATGCCAGGGCAGCTGTAGTCACCCTAGAGCAGGTTATATGGGCCCAGGCTCTTCCACATAAAACCTTGGCCCAAAAGGCAAAACTCATAGCTCTAACAAAGGCCTTGGACTGGGCGGAGGGAAAAACTGTTAACATCTACACGTATAGCCGGTATGCCTTTGCTATGGCTCATGTACATGGAGCCATTTATAAAAAAAAGGGGACTAACCTCAGAGGGAAAAATCATCAAAAACAAAAAAGAAATCCTAGTCCTACTAAAGGGTATATAGAAGCCCAAGGCAGTGGCATTAATACACTGCAAAGGACACCAGAAGGGAAATTCACCAGAAGCAAGGGGAAATAGGGCAGCTTACCTACAAGCCAGACAGGCAACCTTGGGACCAATAAAACCTCTAACGTTTCTTGTAACTCTACCGGCCCCAACCCTGCCCCCCACCCCTACGTACTCACCTGATAAAGAAAACTTTGCTAAAGAACAGGGGGGCACACACAATTCCACAGGACTGTGGACTCTACTGGACACAAGGATTGTGGTCCCCGAGACTCTAGGACGGGCTCTAGTTAAGGACACACACCAGGCCACACACTTAGGACAGACAAAACTAACTGAGCTGCTGAGGGCCAAATACCACATTCTACATCTACACGAATTTGTCAGGGAAACTACAACTCGATGTGATGTACGTGCCAGGGTAAATCCAGGAGGCAGTAGGTCTAGTCAGGCAGGGATAAGACCTAAGGGTACTAGCCCGGGAGAACACTGGGAAGTAAACTTTACTGAAATAAAGCCCCCAGCGTGTGGCTATAAATACCTCCTTGTGTTTGTAGACACCTTCTCTGAATGGGTAGAGGCTTTCCCTACTAGGTCTAAAACCTCACCGGTAGTAGCAAAAAAATTGTTACAGGACCTGGTTCCTCGGTTCATCTTGCCCCTGACTCTGGAATCGGCCCTGCATTTACAGCACAAGTTTCTCAAGCCCTGGCCAAGGCCTTGGGCATATCTTGAAAACTACACTGTGCCTATCACCCCCAGAGTTCAGGGCAGGTTAAGAGAATGAACCGGACCGGAAAGGAGACTCTGACAAAGTTCATCCTAGAGACCGGTAAAAACTGGCTCAGCCTGCTTCCTTTTGTCCTCCTCCATGTCCGATGCACCCCCTACCAAAAAGGCTTCTCTCCCTTTAAATTATGTTTGGAATGCCCCCTCCCTTACTTCCCAGACCCGCAGATACCATACATGCTAAGGTCCATAACCATATACTCCTTAAGTCCTTACAGGCATTCCAGTCTGTTCAATCCCAGGTACACCGGCTCATCAGAAACACCCATCCCACACCAGTGGACCTCACTGCCCAGCCGACGCACCCCTTCCAGCCAGGAGACTCAGTCTTTGTTAAAAAAATTCACCACCTCGGCCTCACCCTACACAGTCATTCTAACCACCCCACTGCACTCAAAGTGAATGGACTAACAGCCTGAATTCACCACACCCACGTCAAGACCGCCCCGCCAGAAGGACAATAAAGCGTAAACCCCTCTTCCCCCAATTCACTAAAATTAAGACTTGTGCGCTCTTCACGGTTACCACCCTCACTTTCCTAATCTGTCCTGTCAATTCAGATAGACGACCCCCCTTAGACCCCACGTACTATCAGTGGACCCTCACTGTGGGCTCCACTGGACAATATGTTAGTGCCTTAACAGGACAAAAAACACCATTGTCAACTCAACCTTTATGTACTATCCAAACCAACCTATAACTTTGTGGACCTTTGCGTCCTCCTAGGAAAAAACCTGGATATTGGACCAGTTGGGCGAGAAATTATCAGGATGGGGGGATTTGCCTCAGGGTGCGGTAGCCAAAAGGCAGAACACCACCTCCAAAACAAAGGGCTATCCTCATGCCCTGGGTCAACACCACAAAGTGAAATTGTGAAAACTTAAATTGCTTTGCCAACATTGGGGTTGCGTAACAATCTCAACCATATCGGGGTTCATAAAACAAAAGAACTCTTATCTCACTTAAGCGTCAGACACCCCGTCCCCCTGTTCTATGGGGGCATGTAACCCACTCCGTATAACTGTAAAAACCCCAGACAACACGTGAAGCACCATGCAGACTTGGGGACTCAGAGTTTACATAAGTGGTTAGGACAAGGGTATTTTCACTATCCAACGCATAGCCTTGCCCCGACCCAACCGCCCTATAGGGCCAAACGCAGGAATCATACCACCCCCAATATCCCCTTCCCTTGCTGCTGTCACCCCCTAACTCAGAAAGCCCCCTTTCTCCCTACTATCACCCCCTTCACTCAGCCCCCAATGGCTCTAGCTTTATCTGTAGAAAGCCTAAACCTCCTTAATTTATTGTCCTCTACCCACCATCTACTTAACCAATCCAACCCAGATTTAGGTGTAAATTGTTGGTTATGTCTAAACCCTCAACCACCATTTTATACAAGCTTAGCAGCACAACTTACAGCCCGTCTAACACTCCATGCTCTGGAAAAATACTCCACTCAACTTTAGGAAATCTCAAGGGAAAGGGTGAATGTTACCATTCCCCTAATTACACCCTCACCAATTCCCCTTACAAATGCTTCTGTCATAAAACTCTTCCCCTAAGTTACAATGGAACAAATATTTACTATACATCCCCAATCTCATCCTGGCTGGCCTGCACTTTTAGGCTCACTAACTGTATCTCCACTTAACAATTAAACAATTTCTCTACTCCCATATTCTGCACACCTATATACATTTTGCCCCGTGTAAACATTTACAGCAGCCAGCAAGGATTTACCCTCCTGGCCCCCTCTGACTCAATTACCCAATAGAAACGGGTCCCCATAGTCATACCCCTATTAGTAGGGCTCAAAATAGCAGGGTCTACAGCCCTAAGTATCTCAGCCTTTGTAACCAGAAATCAAAATTTCAAAGCCCTGTCCCAACATATAAATACTGATATAAGCCATTTAGAAAATTCTATATCCCAGCTTACAGACCAGGCAAACTCTCTAGCTAAAACAGTGCTCCAAAACAGGTGAGAATTAAATTTACTATTCCTTAAACAGGGAGGACTCTGTGCTGCCCTTAATAGGCAAATCAATGTGCAAAAATCACATGCATTCCTATATACCAATAACAGACTTAAAGAGAGCCAAATCAAGAACAAACTCCCATTCACAATTGCTACAAACAGAATAAAATACCTAGGAATACAACTAACAAGGAACATAAAGGACCTCTTCAAGGAGAACTACAAGCCACTGCTCAAGGAAATAAGAGGGGACACAAACAGATGGAGAAACATTCCATGTTCATGGTTAGGAAGAATCAATATCATGAAAATGGCCATACTGCCCAAAGTAATTTACAGATTCAACGCTATCCCCATCAAGCTACCAATGACCTTCTTCACAGAACTGGAAAAAAACACCTTAAACTTCATATGGAACCAAAAGAGAGCCCGCATAGCCAAGTCAATTCTAAGCAAAAAGAACAAAGCGGGAGGCATCACACTACCGGACTTCAAACTATACTACAAGGCTACAGTAATCAAAACAGCATGGTACTGGTACCAAAACAGAGATATAGACCAATGGAACAGAACAGAGGCCTCGGAGGCAACACAACATACCTACAACCATCTGATCTTTGACAAACCTGACAAAAACAAGCAATGGGGAAAGGATTCCCTGTTTAATAAATGGTGTTGGGAAAACTGGCTAGCCATGTGCAGAAAGCAGAAACTGGACCCCTTCCTGACACCTTACACTAAAATTAATTCCAGATGGATTAAAGACTTAAACATAAGACCTAACACCATAAAAACCCTAGAAGAAAATCTAGGCAAAACCATTCAGGACATAGGTGTAGGCAAGGACTTCATGACCAAAACACCAAAAGCATTGGCCAAAATAGACAAATGGGACCTAATCAAACTCCACAGCTTCTGCACAGCAAAAGAAACAGTCACTAGAGTGAATCGGCAACCAACAGTATGGGAAAAAATTTTTGCAGTTTACCCATCTGACAAAGGGCTGATACCCAGAATTTACAAAGAACTAAAACAGATTTACAAGAAAAAACAAGCCCATTCAAAAGTGGGCGAAGGATATGAACAGACACTTTACAAAAGAAGACATACGTGAGGCCAACAAACATATGAAAAAATGCTCATCCTCACTGGTCATTAGAGAAATGCAAATCAAAACTACATTGAGATACCATCTCACGCCAGTTAGAATGACGATCATTAAAAAATCTGGAGACAGCAGATGCTGGAAAGGATGTGGAGAAACAGGAACACTTTTACACTGTTGGTGGGAGTGTAAATTAGTTCAACCATTGTGGATGACAGTGTGGCGATTCCTCGAGGACCTAGAAATTCCATTTGACCCAGCAATCCCATTACTGGGTATATATCTAAAGGATTATAAATTGTTCTACTATAAGGACACATGCACACGAATGTTCACTGCAGCACTGTTTACAATAGCAAAGACCTGGAACCAACCCAAATGCCCATCGATGATACACTGGACAGAGAAAATGTGGCACATATACACCATGGAATATTATGCAGCCATCAAAAATGATGAGTTTGTGTCCATTGTAGGGACATGGATGAACCTGGAAACCATCATTCTCAGTAAACTGACACAAGAGCAGAAAATCAAACACCGCATGTTCTCACTCATAGGCGGGTGTTGAACAATGAGAACTCATGGACACAGGGAGGGTAGCACCACACACTGGGGTCTGTTGGGGGGAAATAGGGAAGGGACTGGGGGATGGGGAGTTGGGGGGAGAGAGCATGGGGAGAAATGCCAGATATAGGTGAAGGGGAGGAAGGCAGCAAATCACACTGCCATGTGTGTACCTGTGCAACAATCTTGCATGTTGTTCACATATACCCCAAAACCTAAAATGCAATAAAATAAGCAATGCTGTTTTTATGCTAATAAGTCAGGCCTTATCCGGGATAGTCTCTCTTTAGTCAGACAAAATTTAAAAACCAGATAATGGCTCCAGGAAGCCTCAAAAAATTGGTATCAAAAATTGTTCTCCTGGTCCCCATGGCTTACTTCCCTGCTTACTGCAATAGCGAGACCTCTAATCCTACTTATACTAAGACTTACAATTGGACCTTGCCTCCTAAACCAATTACTCAACATAATCCAGTCA